TACTCTACTATATATATATATATATATATATATATATATACACACACACACACACACACACACACACACACACACACACACACACACACACACACATACACATATTCACACACACACGTGTGCATGTTTCAGAAGTGAACTAATTGTGCACTTACAAAATAATATATATAAGAATATCATTCTCTTTTGAACAACCAAATTATCTTCTTTTATCCAAAATCCAACAGAAAATCCAAGCTAGAATTTTCCGCTTCTTAAAATTGAGGTAAGATGGTTCAAAAATTCCTGTATTAAGCTAGAATGAAGTATAAGTTATTTTATTTGTCTTCTATTGTTACTACAGGTTTGTTGATTCAAGAAGTTCATCTGAAACAATAGAAATAATGATATGATATGAAAAGGAAATGCTAACATGATTCTAGTAAATTTTGACCAATTTGAAACTCTTCAAAAAAGAAAAAAAAGAGCTTTAATACAGAAATGAAAACAATGGAAATTCTAGCTGGATCTTCACAATTCTTCGTTTCTTTTTTGAGCAAAAAGACGTCACACAATTTTGCTTGTAACTACATTAGCACATAAAAGGCTGTGGAAAGAAAATTAGTCATTATTCTGGGAAATATAAGGCCAGAAGTGACTTCAGCATTGTAAATGACAGAGTAAAATTGATAACTATATGATGAATCAAGTGTAGATTTGTTTCAGAGTCAAGAAGGCATGCTTAGCTTGCTCTAAATCTAGAAATTTTCACCTTAGATGACAACTCTAGACTACTAGATTGCTACATCATTTTTCCAGAAACACCTGGCAGTAAATATGATTTGTCTCTCTGGCACAGCTTTGTGCTGACGAAGCAGCTGTATAAGTTGCATGTCTTTTGAAAATTTTAAGCCAAAAATGTATCACCAAAATCTTTATCCCATGTATGTTGTATGTTCTGTACTTGAAAGTCAATCATGTATATTGTAGAATAATGCCTTTTTCTTATTCCCAAAAGGAAACTAAAACAAGATGCAAGATAAGAACTGAAAGCAAAGGGTTCTATGTGTACCTTGTTACCGATTGCACGCCCAAACCCACATGGCACCGCTGCAGCATCAACATCACCAATATATGGTCGAAGGCTCTTCCTGGCCCTAGAAAATTATAGAATAGAGACATTATACATGATGGACTAATAGGATAAAATACAGACAAGCTAGATGTTTGATTGATGTGCTTAGAAAGATTTAAATAGACATACAATTAATCCAAAATAAGAAATTTCCTATTTCTTCAGAATGGCTGATTTTAATGCTCACCATGCAGCAATTAGTAACCCTGCCAACTGCCTGGAACCAACACGTTGGAAAGATGTTCCTTCGTCTAAGGTCTTGCCAATGGTACCCAACCACCATTGCCCATTGGCACTCCCCTCAAGTCCTACCTAAAATCGTTGAAATGTACCAAACATAAGTCTTGATCTTCAAAGAAACCTGACTGCTGGAACACTAAAACACCATGAGCATTTGAAATTTGATAGCAATAGTGACCTAAGTTTAAAGGTCATATTCCATTAGATTAAGAATGTCTGTAGATCATTACTTGATGAATTTTGCCAGGTTATCAGAGAAATAACTGTTTCAGATATCTGATTTTTATGTTCATAATAGTATACCAACTTTTAAACTCTTAAAAGGAGGTCCTTTGATGCTCAATTATCATATAGACCTTACCTTATTTTCCTGAAATCACAAGAGTGAAATGCAAGTTATCATCACCACCAAGATCTAAACCATGATATGAGAGCATAATGGGTTGAACATATTTTCTCAATCAGCTAATAACATAAGAAGAAACCTAAGATCTCTTCCTAACCAGATAAATATAGACAAATTATGACTTTGCTGTCAATTAGAAGGGCTTTTGGTAAGTAGGTCTACAATTTTTATTTTAGCTCATGTAGTCAAGAGTAGACTTCTAAATTTTCATTCCACTGGATGGGAGTAAATTTTAATGAGAAACAGACAAGTTCAATACTAGCAAGTTGTTTTCTTCTACAAGGTAAGACTAAGTCAGATTTTATATTAAAAAACCACAAAGTTTTCCACATATGTGATTCTTGATCAGGTGGACAAATATTTGTTCATATGGTTTACAATTCTCAGCATCTAATACATGTTGGTGTCTACTGCAATGAGAACATTGGCTCAGTCCTCGTACATATCTGCGTTAGCATGTGAAGAGTAACTAAAGGACTCCAATGACAGCACATGGTTATGAGCCCTTGATTCAAGAATCTAATTGTGGTATGGGGAAATGTTGGCTACTAGTCTACATATACATGAAGGCCTTGGCCACAATAAAAATGTTTATATGACAATTTTATAACAAAGAAATAAATGGTTATGTGAAGCACAGGTCACACTCTTAGTTAAGTGACATGCAAATTTAAGTGACATGCTCAATAGCTATATGCTTGATCCTTTCTCTTAGTTAAGCTCATCAATCACATTTCAATAAACTACAGAAATTAGTTGAAATAAGTGATGTGAGATTGTAGCACTTATTAATAGATTGGTGATAAGAATAAAAATCATCTCTAAGAACAACAGTTTGCTTTCAGTGGTCTACTAAAGATGAATCTTACTAAAAATAGAAGCAATAAGAAACTCATCTTATGTCAATAATCTAGAAAAATAGATAAAACAAGAATTTCTAATCTTCACTATCAATGATGCTTTATGGTAGGTAGGGTATGGCGTGAGGCGTCATATGCCAGAATAGAACAGTGCAAAAATATCTTACAGTTTCTTTAGCAGCAGCCATTGCCAGGAATCCAGCCCCCATTTCTACCTCTTGCAATCCTACAACAACTAATCCAACCTCTGATGCAGCACCACCCAACCAGATTATGAGTGAATCATGAGATGCTCTTTCTTGTCCAACATTCCATGTTCCAGTCAAGATCTTAATGTTTTCATATTTTGCATAAGACTGCTCCCTATTAGCAAACTCTGTTCTCAACAAATCATCAATAGGTCCAGGAGATCTTATATTCCACCCACGTATGCCACCATGATGTGCCAGTGTGAACAGATACGCACCTCCGACTACCATTTTTATAACAGGACTACCATGTGCAACCCACTCTCCAATCAGATTTCCATCCAGATCCATAACCTGAACTTTGCCGCTAACATAGCCTACCCATACCCGTGGCCCATATGTGCAAATGGATTGTACAGAAGAAGAATGATGCTGAACTTCTTGCAATCTATTCCCACTTCCATCCCACAGGATTACCGATCCATTTGTGCACCCAGTCCAGATTATACCATCCATCGATATAGCTAGGGCTTCTGTTCTGCGATTATCTTCTCCGAATGTTCCCTTTACTGCAGCTCTGCGAACAGCATCAGCTGCTCCCATCAGGGCATTCCGAGAACGCTGAAAAAAACTAACTGAACCTTGTGACTTTTCCTTCTTTGATGATGAAACAAATTTTATCTTCATTTCATCCTCAACGTATGGATCTTGTGCAGATGGTAGCTCAACCCGAGTCACTACCTGGCCATCAATACCAAACACTTTCAAAAGATCCCTTGTACGAGAATCCCTGAATGATAACAAATAGGTTATCCAAATTAACAGAATAAGCCTGAAATCTGACCAGCACTAAGGGATTTCACAAAAACACTAATGAACATACCATAATGCAAAGGTTAGACTACCGGCACTCCATACTTTGGACTTGCAATTATCAGATGCCATATGTTTCACATCTACAGCAGGCAAGTTGCACACACCACCCACCGTGACTTGGCTTCTAAGATCAATATATGACCTCTCAACTAGCAAAGCAGCCATATGTCTTTCTTCCACAGAAAGAGAAAGGGCCTTTCCAATGGCATCCCAAGGCCAGGCCCTTATGACTCCGCCCTCAGAACCTGACCATATTTCACCTGGAGTTGAAAAGCATTATATGCCAGAATTAATAAGCTCCAAAAACATTTAGGGCACTACTTTTTGTTGAAACCGATGAAGAAAAGTAGAGCATTAAACAATCTTTCTTAGCATTTTAGAAAATAGACCATTAAATATAAATCAAAGAAACAGATAGATGGAAGACCAACCAGAGGATAATTTTAGCCATTATCCAACAACTAATAAAGTTAAGGTTCGTAGTTAAAATGCATTCAAACTGCAAATTAAAGTCTTAGATGTTGATTCATTGAATTTACAGAAAAACAGCCCCTTTCTTCTACTGGTATGAGATCACAATACTGGCTTCTTTGCTAATGCTCCACCTATTGCTGTCACCCGAATGCTTCTACCTCTTAGTGAATTGGTTGATTCCCCAAACATCCTCATCTGCATTTTGCCTGGGGAAGAGGTAACTTTTACCCCAAGCACCAGAAGGGAAAGGGGGATGAAGTCCTTCTTAATAGCCAGTCAATGTATGAGCTTATACATACATACTATTATTGAAATCTTGACCTTAGAACCAGGGTTTATCAACTTGATTAATGCCAACTTTTGTAGAATCATAAAAGTTTAAAGCAGAAAAACATAAAAAGATACTTGGGGCTTGGCAGCATGCACTGATAGTAAAGACATTATATATGGATGATAATGACAACGAAACTGAATAGGAACTGTTAAACTTGAGTTCAAAATGACTGATTATATTTTATCAACAAATTTCAAGAAAACAAATGCAAGCATCAGACACATGCATATATTTACTAAATTTTACCATGGCTCAAAGATTGGAAGATTGGAGACTAGCAGAGATAGTAAAGTCTGATGGGAGTCAGGACACCTGTGCTGATTTGAACATTTTGCTCAAATTATTCTATCATCACAAAGAAAATTCAACAAAGCCAAGGAACAGTCAAGTTCCAATAAATTTGTCTACATGAATCCTATTTAACATTAAGCAGACTAACTCGACAAAGCCCTGATGCAAGTAGTGCACAAACTGACAAACAGAATTTGAGCAAAAGGTGGCCCAGAAATAGTCAAAATCACCTTCATGTCAAATAGTACCTGTAAATTAGCAAGAACAGGAGAGATTTGAGCCTCAAATTTTAAAGTTGATGTGAGTCAAATTTGTGGACCATTATGATTGGCCTACACACTAAATCATTCTGTACTGATATTTGTACTGGAAAACTTCATTACAAATATCAGCAAAAGATCATGATGTGTCTTGTACCAATATATGTAGCATCAATGGCAGTGTAGGCTGATGCACTTGTTGCAAGCACCATCATGCCATTGCATACCAGTAACTGGAGTGCATCTGGTTTCTTAAGCACACAGGCACAACTGCACCCAAACAACTCATAAGATTATAATATATAAACAACATCACAGATCATATAATGCCTATTGGGTCAAACAAAAAAATTGATGTTTTTAGATACAATGTTATATTCAATTTAGCACATGATACATCTTCTGAAGATAAGTGATACACATCTTGACAAAAGTCATGGGCTTTGTTTCGAACAAAATCAATGGTCCTTTCTAAGAGAAAAATGACTTCTTTTTGCTGTTCATCAATTGGCACTGATGCTGCCACCTGAAAGCTTAAGTTGTGCCCATGCCCTAGTTCTGCATGGATATCATTTTTCTGTTTTTTTTTCTCTATTCCAAAATCCTCCCTGTCCTAGATTTGTGTTGTTCATAAAAAGATTGTCTTTGCAGAAATTATTGAGATGACGGCTAATTTCACCAAAGAAGGAAGAATAGAAGCAAATGTTTTTCTTCCTTTATCAAATCTCACCAAGACAGTAATAAATGCAATCAGTTTCTTTAGCACATCTCATAAAAAAAGACAGGACTAATTGCAAAGTTAATGTTGTTGGACGGTAATTACCATAAGATGTGATAACCATGGATAGCACAGGAGATCGTTGATGTGCCGGCCAGGAAAGGCCTTCTCTAAATGGAGGGGCACCACCAATAGCAGAAGCAACACCACCGTCATCCAGAGAAGAATTTGCGCTGGTCGGCTGGTCCATCTTCCATGACCGAATCTTCCCATCCTTGTGTCCGCTCCAGATCAAGCCATTGGCAACGTCCACCACCAAGCAGAGCGTCGGCGAGGTGCGGCAAGACTCACTGAAAGGGGCACTCTTCTCGTCGCCCCTCTTCACCGTGACGCTGGGCCCCAAACTGTCAAACGCGTCCTTGCGGTTCCACACTCGAAGGCCCGACTCCTGGCCCGCCCAGAGCTGAGAGGTAGTGCAGGCGATGGTGCGGAGGAAGGAACCAGCCTGGGTTTCGCGCAGCGGGTGCGGGCGCACCTCGATGGCGGGGGGCCGGTCGGGGTGAATGGCGGAGCGGTGGGGCACGCGGAAGATGCCGACGCCCCCGCCGTTGCCCATGAACTCGGGGATAGTGCCGGGGGTGCCGCCGTACTCGGACATGACGCGCTCGAGGGTGAGGGAGCCATCGCTGTCGGAGAGGGAGGAGCCACCCCGGTGGCAGTCGATGGAGAAGGGATTGCCGAAGGAGACAGGGGCGGTGGGGGCATGCTGGTGGTGGTGGTGGGGTGGGGAGGGGACGGAAGGGGGCAGCTGCTGGGAGAGGGGGAACCGGATTTCCTCGACGGAGGAAGAGTGCTTGTGGCGGTGATGGTGGGAAGGAGGAGAGGAGGAGTTGTAGTGGCCGCAGGAGAGGGCGCGGGGGGCGGCGGCGGCGGCGTTATCGGAGGGAGAGGAAAGGGTGTCGTCGTCGAGGCTGTGCTTGCGGCGGGCAGAAGTGCTGAGGACGGCGTCGCGGCTGAGGGGCTGACTGTAGGATTTGCCCTTCCGCTGCGGCGCGTTGCTCCGGCCCGCGGCCTCAGCCTCCGCCTCCTTCTCCTCCTCCTTCTTCCTCTCGTCCATCAATCAAGAACAGAGAAGAAGAAAGGAAACAAAGACCAAGATCACGATTGCTGCGATCTATATGATCATCGGATCATCGATTGTTGGTTGTTATTAGTGCGCCACTTGACTGTCTTCTTCTCCTTCGGTAGGAATGGGTGGAAAGGAGACGGAGGAGAGGCACATGGGAGGCCACGAAGAAGAGAGAGGGTGGGGTGGGGGGGTGGGGGGGGGGGGGATGCAGTCGGAGATACAGGCGGCGACATGCACGCGGGAGATTACAGGCGGCAGCGGGCCCCTCCACCCGTTTGGTTTTTGCTCTGCCGAAGCGAAGGAAACTATTCTTTTTCTTTTTTATTATTAAAATGGTGGGTCCATCTGGCGACGTGTTCACCTGATACCGGTGCTACGTCAATCTCGGGGCCCATCGCTCCCCACCAGGAAAATAAAGAGAGCTCTCTTTCATACCACGCGGCTCTTTCAATGGATCTGATACGCCCCCCCGTGGGCAAGCACGAATCTCAACCACGAGAATTCCAATCGTGACGCCCGCTGATGATGTACGTACCAATTCAAGTCTGCATCGAAACATATCCAATCCAATTGGGAGTGAATATACCACTTTAAAATGAATCCGATGAGTGCATATCAAGTCAAAACCTCTAAATTCTTTTTATACTACTATAAACCTCATATCATGTAAGTTAAGCTAGCATAAATCTGATGTCATAATCGCATGTTACACTCGAAACAATATATAACGAATGATACATACTAATCCAATGGTTCATCAGGTACATATGAAATGCGAAGATTAAAAATGATTTCGCCGCCTCAAAGGATATAAAGGTAACAACAACTGAGTTTTGGGTTAGTATATACAACCACATCATCCAGAAATAAACATCATCACATATCATTTAACGAGCAACACAAAGCATACAAACCCAGCTTTAAGCGAAAAAGCAAGCTTGCTATTGTGTAGTTCCACTGCCGCATCAAACATTTTAGTGGCATGGTGGAGGAGCAAGAAAGAAAAGAAAAGAAGATTCTTGTCAGATGATATTGTTAGAATATGAGGTGTGGCCGATTCAGAATTATCTGCCTCCACTATCATCTAAAGAAGACTCTGATGCAGTGTCATCTAAAGCTGAGGTCGAGGTGGTTTCAGATGAACTCCCGTTTTCACCATCCGAGGACGCAGTTCTGTCCTCTGTGATTGGTCTCTTCAAGCACCAGTACATGATGCTAGCTGTCAGAGTAAGCATCATCTTTTGATTCACCTGATGGAGTAAATCATTGAGGATAAGGAACGATGTTATTAGTAGGTGGAGAAAAAATTCATCCGATTGTAGGTTGGTTTCATTTTTATCCACTTTATGAAGTTACCTCCAGTATGTCTTCTGGAAGCAAAAACACAGAGCAACCAAGCTTCCTTGCGACCGAGATAATATAAGATGCATTCATTTTCTTTTCTTCATCTGCATTTGTTCCACATATTAGACATTAAATTTTCAAAAGAGAAAGCAAAAGGTAATCTTGATCTGTAAAATTACATTACCTCTTAAAATGAAATGCATATTAATAAAATTGCTGAATAAAAGAAACAATACCTGAAGATAATATCTGCTTTCCTTGACTAGAACATTAGTATCAAGTTCCAATTTGTTGGTAAATTTCTTAGTAATTTGAACAGAAACATGGATGCATCTCAGTTGAAATACCAACTCATCCTAAATTATATAAAGCTATGCAATATGATATTTTCATCTTTTAGTTTAGAACTATTTGCAACCTGACTGACTGGTTCAGTTTGTTTGGCATCCACATAGGAAAGACCGAGAATAATGTTCTGGAAATCAACATGGACCAGTCAGAGGGTCATACCAATCAGCTTTACTAGATGGAATAACAATAATAACTCAATAAGATAATGACAAACCACATGCAAAACAAAACTGATAATCAAATTCTAAATCTACCACAAGTGCAACTATGTCTCCGACTACCTCCTGCATCCCTAATTCAAATTGACTCATCCAACCTAACAAGTGCATCTATGTCTCCTTTCCAAAGAAAACTTAGAAAAGATTATGTGCATGCTGCACAAATATAACTATAGAGAATAACAGAGATGATAGATAAAACAAGAAAACTGAGAAATCATTTTTGTTCGTACATAAAGATTTGAGTTACCTCTCTCTCCTTTAGTTACAAGGCTCCAATTCACAACTCGAGGTTCAACAGCACTCAGCAAGTCAAGGAAAAAAATTCCACTTGAAAGACTTCTATCCTGTAAATTGGTAAAATAAATGATATTAAATTTGGCTGAGATTGCTCTTTGTGACAACATTTGATGATCTGTGTTAAAATTTTACAAGAAACTACAAGAAACAAAATAAGTAATCACATTAGTAAGTAAAATAAAATTTTGTTTAACATTTTTTTTCCATTCTGTTAATTGCAGATTGCAACATTAAGAGCCATAACACACAATTGTGTAATTAAACATACAGTACTGCATATAACTGGACTGACTACATCCTATATGTTGAATAGTTAGTGGAACTTAAGAAAAATAGAAAACCATAAACATATAAAAGCCATTTCCTAGTACACATGAGTACAAAAATATAACCAAGTCAAGATGAAAAAGCACATCAATTATAATTTATAGAATAATGAGTTTCTAATAAAACCATAACCAGTGAAAATAGAGCTTTATTAGTTAAAAGTTGCATAAGCTTCTCTTATTCCACTTAACATTAAACCAGAATGTTAGGATCCAGAACAAGTACAATGTACATCCACAAAGCTTTGAGATTAGGAAAATATAGTACCTTAAAGCTGTCCATGCGTGAATGCCTTCCAGAATTCTTTACTCTATCATTAGCCCAATTCAATATATCAACGTCTTTTATCTCCTTTTCACGAGAATGGAATCTCAAATTCTTTAAAAGTTGGAGAATGTTGTATCTCATCAATTGCCACAGAAAAGCTTAAACAAAAATGTAAATAGATTTATTAGAACTTTAAATCACAAAGATATAGCCTAACTGCCAATAGTCTAAAGGAAAGCCTTTTAATGCTAGCTGTTCTACTACAGAGCTCTGCTATAAATAACTAACATGATACGCTTTGCCCAAATTTAAGGATCAGATATTTTAATTCTTAGGAAAACTGCTAATGGGATTGTAAATATTCTAATGCTTACCCAATATGAGTTTCTTGTTCCCTTGCACAATATCATTTCCAGCAATGTTAACCAGGGAAAATTTCAATTGTTTCCCAATCTTGACAACTTGATTGCAGTTCTCTACTTTTTTGAATGGCATTTTAATAGGAGGTTTGTTTGCAGACTTCCAACAAACTATACCTGGAGCAACTTTGTCAAGGGCCTCTAGAAGGACCCATCTGCAAGTTTAAAGTAATATATCAGTTGAAATTACAGCTCCAATTATCCTAACAGTGATAGACATAAACTAGTACAGAAAGCATAAGATCCATAAACAGTTTACCCTGTTCTAAGATCTTCAAATACATTGTTTATATATGTTGGGATTCCAAGACTATTGATCCATAACCGAAATGCTCTTTCCTCCCTTGAAACTTGTGGATCATCAGAATTTGCTTCAAGAAATGTGATCTGTTTCATCTGTGATGATAGGCCATTCCTGCAGATAATGAATAAGATATAGCTCTTAATAAATGGTGATTAAATATATGTATTTTTTGTATGGCTTATAGGTCAAAGATCTACCGTATATGGTACATGTAAAAGAAAATAAACTCATACATCTATAATACAGACCAAACCATTAGAATTACGTTAACACCCAGAATTGATATGTATAGGCAAATACTTGGACAAAATATATGTTATTGCTGATTCTGAAATACTGTGAGCTTTATAAATCTATGTTGCCAACAAAAAAGAACAATGCATAAAGTGAAGTTTCACTCCCTTAGGCATCCCATCTTATTACAAATCTGAAAGAAACAATAAAAAATAATGCAAACGCATTCTTTATTTATCTACACATAATGCTTACAAGAAGATAGCATTCCCTTTATCTCTAGGCCAGTCTTATCCTATGAACAGTGGAGGTCACCACCGTCGATTCTTTTTCAGGTAAATTGGTGTAATAGAAACACATGTGAAAGTATAAATATAAATTAGAATAGGTTTAGATGCGATTTATCTTCCAAGAGGACATAAACCATGTAACTGCAAATTTTAACTAAATGTGAATGCTATGAAAATGATAAGCTAAGCATGCTAGTAAACATCTTCACCCATTCTCTAAATTAATTAGGCCAATTACCCTCACCTTTTCTGAAAAATATGGGCAACAAAGGCAAGGTTAAGATTTGGTGAACCTTCAACAATGTCCTTTGGAGTCAGATATCTTTTGCAACCCATCCTATCTGCATGCTCAAGAACTAATTTTGCTCTTTCAAGAAGTTCCTTCACAGTACTTGGGTAAGGCTTCCTACTATACTCTGGAGCCAAAACATTTAGCAAACAAGCGTAGGCCTCCCCATCCTGCAGTGGGGAACATCACTGATGAATTAGCTATTACTATCAGAATGCTACCATAAAACCAATGTCAATACTTAATCTTATGTCTCCAAAGATAATTGCATTAAGTTATGGAAAATCAAATTAAAACGAACTTAAAGAAAAAGAAATGGGAAAAGGAAAGATGAAAGCTTTGAGATTGAGTTCAGCTACATGCCCCAAAGTTCCATCTACAAGTGGTGAGATCACACCTACCTGATCTCTCCACACTGCATGTCATGTGGGAATGCCACATCATATGATAAAGTTACTGGGATGGAACTTTGGTTAAAGGAGCACTTATAAAAAGATTATAGAGGGAAAAAATTGATAAAGAGCTTTTCTTGGAATTTATGATTGGTAAGTGAATCCTACAATTTTCTGATAACAAGTTAAGAATTTACGTCATTTTTCATAACACAACATTTGGAATACATAAATCCTTTTCTTCATTTAGGTGGCAGGGATTATTCGGAGTCTCCGAGGAAGGAAAATGTAAAGAGAGAAGATGGTAGGGTTGGTTGATAAATAGATATAGAAATGAATAAGAGGAAGAGTCTTTGATAGACTAAAGAGGTCATAAAAGGTTTCTGAATTGGTGTTACCTTCACATCTGATGAGAAGTTGGTTATCAATCTCCTGAAGCC